ACGGGATCATCATTCGCTAATTGTAATTGGCGCAGTACTAATGCGTCATAACTAGACTATCACTAACAACGTTCATTCCTATTTCTTTATGGTTCACAAAAATGAACTATCGTTCTGAAAGATATGAACTAATATTTTGAAATATAATTATTACCCATCGAGATATTAATTTTATTAAACCGAAAGTCGTTTGAAGCATGTCTATTTCAATAATAAATAATTTAATTTTACGTGTCAAACCAATGATGAAATGAATTAATTAAGAGAAAAAATAGAACTTTATCTTGTACTTGCTTATGAATGCTAGAGCCCGTTTATAGTAATGAAAGATATTGAATTTGTTATATTGTGTTAGAATTTACTAGATTAATTAGTGAACAGGGTCTACCTTTGATTTGGTTATTACCTCATAATGTTTTAAACTTCTAGGTTTAAAATCCCTAAATGGCTCTTGCCTAAAAATGATGGCACAATCGAAAAAAACGAAATACGACATCCATTTTGTGAAAAACTATATAACAAGCTTTTTAAATTTTTATTTTGAAGCGGAACATGAAATAATTAATAGTGATCTTTAGTTCAGAGCGAGGTATAATTTAGAGGTCGGAACCGCCTTAAAATCCTTAACTGGTCAATAAACCGGTTAAATTTAACACAGGAAGGCACTTTGAACTTTGCTGAGTGAGCTAGCAAAATTTTTTGAAAAGTCAGATATCTTAATACTGGCCGATAATTAAATTTCGGGCGGAATTCAAATTAACTACTTTTGTTAAAGAAAAGGTTAAAAAGATAATCGAATAAATAACCGGCTAAAATTTAGCTAAATTAGAATATCTATTCATATTCGATTCTAGAAAAAAATGCAAATCAAAAAGGTAGTGATTTTTTTGAGGCATCCTACATCATAATGTATTTGCCCTCATGAATCAAATCAAATTTTTTTTCTATAATATAATACTATACCCTATTTTCTCAACTCTTATCACAAAACAAAAAGATAGAGTGATAACGATAACTTTCAAGGGTCACAACACATCGGTACGTATAGGAGATAATTTATTATTACAATTTATTTTATTTAACAAGTATTAAATCTTAATAATTCGACGGACGGTGGCCAATGTTTCGACCAATTACCTTCAATATAGAATTCCTTTCGGGTATTTTAAAAAACATATTCTTAAATTTAGAATATGTCCGAACCTTTCTTTGTCTTGCCTAGGTTCGAAAATAAATTTTACCAATTTAATTAAATTGAAATCTTTAATCACAAATCCCCAAATTTGAAACCATCGAAATCCTGCCAAACCTGTTTTAAAATCCGTCGAAATCCGAAACCCGTTGAAACTATTCTAGAAAAGTTTCAACTTTGCCAAAATGTGATTATGGTTATGCCCCGAAAACTTTTGTCATAAGTGACGCAGAGAGATTAGACGCAGTTTTGTATGCTATCTTTTCCCCGAATGGAAAAAAATCATGGCATGGCCATGCACATGCGATCTAAATTCTGCAAGCTATTTTAAATCTTACAAATCTCATAAGTTTTCTTCTATTGCTAGTTCTTTAAAATATTGGATATAAAACTAAATGAATTTAAATCTGGAACATTTTTATTACATTTTTAATAAATAAGAGATCATCAATACATTATTTGATTATTTGCTGTTATTATTGTTTATTATAAATAGCAAATAAAATGTTTTTCAAGTCATTCAATTTTTGCAAATCTTTTTCAATAAAAACGAAACGTTTTATTTCTAAGTTCGCCTAAAATTTTATGAAAAAATAAAATATAATGTTCATTGTTATTTTCATTTGAAATTATTCCATTCCGGAAGAAAAAATTAGTTGATATTTTCTTTTGTTCCATAATTTCTTTTACTTTTATTACATTTGACCCACACTGTAAAAAAAAAAAAAATATCTTTCTTCAACGAAATCGAGTTTAAACAAAAAGGTTTTTTGCATTCGTTTTTATAAAAAAAATATATATATTTATATAAAAAGTTTATTAGCTTTTTTACGTATCCATCCACGGTACAACCCATGAACTGGTACGAACTAAATAAGACGTAAGAAGATATCATGTTCAGTTCAGAAAGTCGCCGTAACTCCCTTCATAACATCTACTTGTTCCATAGACGCTCATAAATATTTTTTTCATCACAAAAGATCCAGTAACGAGTGAAACCTTACCTTTTTCAAAATTATTTCCATGTTTATTTTACTTTTTAAATTTGGCATCTCACCAGGAGAATTCCACTTTGATTATGAAGGAGACACAGTTAAATATATTAGTCGAAGAAAAAGAAACACAGGAAGTGGAACAAAAAAATAACCAAAGGGAAAGACAAGGACAATTTAGAGCCGTTAAAGTTTAGAGGAATACGAACAATAAAAAAGGTTGGAAAACCCGTTGAAATTGGTGAGAAGAAGAAGATCTAAAAAACTCGGCATTTTTATACTTATGAAACACGTATTTTAAACGCGTGATATATTTGGAAATTGTGTGGTATAAACAAATATATAAAACGCGTGATCAATTTTGGAAATATTAAAATAAACGCGCGATAAATTTATAATATACTATATTTAAATTTATTTTAACATCCATCATAAGTCACAGAACATTGCATTGTGATCCTTCCCAACATCACCTACTATGTTATTTGAGAAGATAGTTTTTTTTAGGGTGTAAAATCATATTTGTCACAAACATTAAACAATTTACATTATTTGTCACCCCATTGATTAGTGTAATTCAAATTTGGTTTGGGTGGGTTTTCCGGTAGTTTTATCTTTCCAACGCAAAAGACCAATACAATCATACAAAAAAATTTCATAATTTGATAAATAATTTATTCAATAATTTATAATTACATATTAAATATTAAAAAGCAATTGCAATTAGACAAAAAAATATTCAGAATTGCAAAGAAAAACACGTAATACTATTTACGGCTTACAATATTATTAAGGCTATTATGTAAACAAATCGATTTAAATAGTATCCTGACTATGAGACGCCGTAACAAACGTTAAAGACATGACTTATTGCAAATTAAAATATTAAGTATTTATAAAACATAATTTCTCGCAGCTTTCGCTAAAACCTTTATCGCAAGATTTACCATGTCTGCAAGTATAAATGTGGTTAGGCTTACAAAGTCCTCCTAAAGAAAGATGATAAAAAACAAATTTGTAAGAGTTTATGACAAAATGAAATGAATCAGAGCACGCGAGGTTAAATTAGATTTCAATTATTTACCTAATCTACAACCACAGTAATCTCTTACAGGCTTATTTATAGGACAAGCGCAGGGACTAGAAATTGCACATTCAGGAGGGATGAAGAATAATGCGTCAACAATGAAAGAAGACAACAAACATGAGATAAAAAGTAGATAAATAGAAGTCTTCATTTTCGATAATATTGTTATTATTATTTTTTTTTTTGTTGTGTTTGCAAAATTAATTTTTTTAAAGAATAATTATTGAGGCAGCACCGTTATTTATAGTAATTCCCCAACATTTCATTGAAGATAAAAAGATTATTTTTCTTGGCTTCTTGTACGCTGAAGTAATGATCTTAAAAAAAAAATTCGATTGTTTATTATCATATGAACCTGTGTTAACTTTTCGGAGTGAGTCTTCTTCCTTTTTTTGTCTTTTTTTTTAGAGTTGAGTTGTTTCGTAATTATGGGTGTAAAATTTTAAATTCATTATGAACTCTGTATTCAAATTCATTATATCGATACCAATAAAAAATAAAAAAAGTTACATCTAATTTAGAATGGTAGTAAATAAGAAAATAAGAACGTTTGATAAGTAACAAATTCATAAAGTAATTTCGATTTGAAAATCAATGATTCAAATCGTAAAACGTTATTCATCTGGTTGTCACTTTATTTGAATTGTATTTAATTTTTGTTTTATTACTAAGTTTGACGATATGCAAATTATGCAAATCGTCTATTGTATATAGAAAACCGGTACGGTCGATTATTCGTTTTTTTTTGACTATTTATAATACGAAAAAAAAACAAATGTTACATACGTCGTTTAATATACAACAACATCTGATATCATAAGTAGTTAAGAGTACATAGATTATTTTAGATATCAAATTTAAGAATTTCGTAATGATGTTATAAAATTTAGTATGAATTAAATTTTTTTTCTAGTGAGAAAGACATTAATTTAACAAATTAATTTATTCTAGTAATGCATTATATTTTACGGAACAAAAATATTACTTGATTAACGATATTCCTTTCTTTATTACATTGTATCATTTGAATCATTTTGAATACATGGAAAAAACATTGAAGTAAGTATTTTACCTTCGTCGTGCATCACCACGCGTTTGGATAATCTTTAGTTCCTTTCATACTATCAACTATTAAGAAAAGAGCCATATCAATGAATCCAAATTTACATTTATAATGACTTTCAAATCACGTGATCATGCGATCGATATTATGATCAATCATCGATCATCAATTAAATTTTTTTTTTTGTAATCTTCTTCAATTATCCTGCTTGCTTTCCATGCAACCATGGCAACGGGAGCATTAAGGTTGCCATTCGGAATAATTGGAAAAATTGAAGCATCGACAACTCGAAGATTTTTTGTTCCATAAACTTGATGTCGATGGTTAACACACCCTCCTTGTGATTCTGGTGCCATTTTAACCGTACCGCATGGATGAAATGAAGAAGTTGTCTAAAGAATGAAAATTTTCATTAATTATATCTAAATATTTCCTTACATAGTGTTGAATATTACCTTTTCACGGATATGTTGTTCCCAATCTTCATCACTCATTTCATCT